ATTCACGTTCATAGCTGACAATGCCTCCAATTGGAAATTCAACCGCACGCGCCGTGTGTGCGATGGTGCAGTGCGAGGAGGGCAAGGTGAAGGTGAAATATCTTGGCGGGAGTGATTTTGAGTCGTGCCCCGAAGGGGAGTTCATCACGCCCAAATCGCCGCACTTCAAGGGCGGCGGAAGGGTCAAGTGCCCGAGGTACGAGGAGGTGTGCACCATCGCCGCCGATGGCAGCAGCCTCATCAACCTAAAGAAAGACGACCACGGCAAAGACGACCACGGCAAAGGCGACCATGGCAAAGACGACTACGAAAATGACGACAACGAAAATGACGACTACGGCAAAGGCGACCACGATGGCTGTGCGGCTGCTGTTGTTCTTTCCAGTCTGTTCCTTGCCGTGATTGCTGCGATGGTGGTGGCGACGGTGCCGCTTTGAGCAGTGGCCGCAGCAACGGAGCACTTCCTGCGGCGGCAGGGCAATGATGCCTCGACGCTTCTCACAGAGCAGGCGTCTGCAGCGCGTAGAAATGCAAGATGATTGCTCTTGCAGCCGCCCTATCCCCCTCACCACCCCTGGCCCCTCGTCGGAAAGTAGTTAAAACATGCGTCCCTGCTGAATGGCGCCGCGGGTGGTGGGGAGGAGAATCGTGCGGTGTTTGTTGGACGTGAGCAAAAAAATAAAATTAAAAATGATGGGGTCCGTTGTTTCTTATACTTCCTTTTTTGTTTTTTGCTTGAAGCATAATTCCATAACGGTGCTGATTTGTTTTTATACGCTTCCCTTCCTCCGGAACAAAACGACGGCAGAACTGGGAAGTACGTAGATATTTATTTATTTTCTTTTTTTTGTTGGTTTTGGTCACGTCCCAGACGGCGTGCCGTCGAGAAGAAGAGGGGCCGCACACTTTTGGTGGTGCACTGGGCTCCGTCCCCCTTTTTTTTTTAATGTTGGCTGTTCGCAGTGGGTCTGCATTTATCTTAACCTTCAGCAGACCAAGCGTTTCAGCGGAGGACATTTTTTTTATTTTTTTTGTAGAGGCGCGTGGAACAAACGTGCCACACGATGAGGATAAATGTTTTTTTTTGTTTTTGAGGTTTTTTTTATTGTTTGGCTCATGGCCTGTTGTTGTGAGGCCGCCCCGCGTTTGAGGAGAGCGAGTGCAGTTTCCTTTTTATTTTCATTCCAGCCCCAGCCCCCACCACCCACACACGCAGGGAGCGCGGCGGTTGTGGCGCCCCGAACAAACTGCCACGCCTCGGGGTTCCCGCGGACCCGGCGCTCGCAAGGCGTTTTTATTAATGCATTGTTTTTTCACGAGTGTGTGTGTATGGGGGGCGATCCCTGCGGTGCGCGGGGGCGTTGGGCGAGCGCAGAGCTAAAAGCTGCGAGCTTCCTTTTATTATTATTATTATTTGTTAGTTCTTAGGGAGAAGGGGGGGCTGATTTTTCCTGGGCGGCACATTCGCCGTTCTTCTTCTTAGTGGCCGTTTGCCGGGGAGAGAGGGGGGCGCGGAGTATAAGCGCGGAGGGCCCACAGCCGCCGATGCGGGACGCCCGGCTGGCGCTTCAGCGCCCTTCTCGCGCGGCCCTGTTTTGCCGCCCAGCGTTTGGGGCGACAGAAATGCACGACGGCGGCAGAGAAGCGGCGGCGGAAGACGAGGGGGAGAGCATCCCTCGTGGGCATCGAACCCCCGAGCACACGGTTAAGAGCTGTGCGATTTACTGACTGA